GTTTTTTTTTTGTCACAATTAAATAAATAATAATATATGTCATTTTCTTGCTTTCATCACAACGTACGTAGTTTGGTAAAGGTACTGGGTTTTTTGAACATTTCTAGGTTTCCAATAATGAATTCTCTCTGATTTCAAAATTAAGAACAATTTTGATTAAGAAAATGAAATTAGCGGACTCACTAACCTGGATTTCAGCTTCGTATCCGATCCTAACCTTGTCGCTAGCATCCCAAAGCTTATCGAGAAACAAAAACCGTCGCATCCCAAACTTTCTAGACCAAATCGAGAGACTAACGAACGAGATTCCGGCGAAAATCGAAAGAGAAAGCTGCACGACGGCGTCGTACGGACGTCGGTGATGGAAATCGCAGTCCGAGCAAACGAGCAAAAAGTGAGAGATCATCGGAACGATTACGACGAGGAGGAAGAAAACTGACCACGAAAGCAGAGCCGTGGTTCGATTCGATTGGTCGAACCAGAGGACGAGGCTCATGAACGTGAATCGCGACGAAGGAAACTCCGGCGGTGATTTGTTGTTGATCGTGCTTCGTCGAGTCTCCGAGATTAGGTATTCCCGAGATCCTCCTCCTCCTTGCTCCGATGCGTTCTCCATGAAAGGGTAATTTCGGAATTTTAGGGAATTGTTTTTTCCAGAGGGATTTTGGGAGAAATGAAAAGCAAGTCGCGTTTGATTTTGATTTGATTTTCTGGTTTTTGTAAGCCACCTGTAATCTGTTTAAATAGTAAAAGTTTTCAAATGTTTATATGTTTAGTTTAAAACATACACGTAATTAATTTAGGGATAATATATATTTTATTTTTTTGTAGTTTATTAATTTTGAGATATTATGTGGTTTCAAATTTTTTTTCCTGGCTGATATGTAGTTGGAAAAGGGTTGTTTAATATCTAAAATAATGATTAAAAATGATGTTGTAAAGTGTCATGGTCAAAATGGTGTTTACATTAAAAGATTATGTGTTTACTATGTTAGGAATTTGACTCTTCTGTATGACTTTTAGATGGTGATTAGTTTGCAGCTCAATTGGTTAAAATATTAAATTAATAGAAAAAACAGCTGATACATCAATAAAATTCTATTCAAATTTTTTTTTTTTTTCTGAAATTTCATCGAACGATTTAGTTTTGAAAATCTGTCAATTTTTAGTTTTTTTCCTTAAATGATATTCAGTTTGATTTTCTCACAATTGCATAGAATAGTGCGACGTTATGTATTCATTAAAAAATGTGACTGATAAGCTATTCGATTTGATGGTAAAAATTTGGATAATCACTAATTATCAACCAAAAAAGTAATTTAAAAAGAAATAGTAGAGTTATTAAATTACAAATGTCATTGCCCCTTGAATTTTCACGGGATTAAATATCAGTTTCTAGTCATACAGGTGTTCTAATTGTTAGTTACATTTTCACGGGCTAGAAAACAAAATTCATGACGTGTCCCACTTTTGGGCTTTGGTCCATAAGTTACTCTAAAGCCCAAAACTTAACCCGGGTCGGATCATTTCGGATCCTATTTTGGTAGGAAATTTCTCCGGCCATGATTTGTTGTTGGGAAGCGTCGATGTCGATGGGCATGAGAACTAGTGGAGAGAACCCAGAATATCCGACCGTCATTCTTCGTCTAAAAACCCCACAAAATTCTCAAAACTTTTCTCCATTTCTACGCTATAAATCTCCAACCTTTACTCTTCTTTCCTGTGAATTCTCTGCTCTCTGAATTCCGATTCGCCGTTCGAATCTTGGGTTTCCGACGGAGATGGCGGCGACGGTGGCGATTTCAGGCATCTCTTCACGGCCTTTGGTTGCTCTTCGACGCTCTAGAGCCGCCGTTTCGTACAGTTCTTCTCATCATCGATTGCTTCGTCATCGTCTTCTCTCTTCTCCTCGCTTGGTCTTCAGGTATGCTCAGTTACTTGATTAGAGCCTTGGATGTTGAAACGGCTTAGTTTTGTTTCTAGTTTTTGAATTAGTGTTGTCATTGGATTTTTTAGGAATGTTCATAAAGTCCAAGCAACGATTTTGAAAGACGATGAAGAGAAAGTGGTGGTGGAGGAATCGTTTAAAGCAGATACTTTTACTGGTAAAGAAGCAATTGAAGAGCCAGATATGAGTTCTTCAACTAGTGCTCTGGAATCATGGATCATCAAGTTTGAGCAAAGGGTGAATGTCTTACTTACAGTAAGGTTTTATGACCCTTTGATCTTATTACTGGAAATCTTGAATGTTTGATTGTGTTCACATTACCGGAAGGTATTTCA